ATACAAGAACAATTATCTGCCAGCGGGGTCAGAAAAATACCTCATCTATAATAGTTTATTTTTCTGACTCCATTGTCAGATATTTGTTCTTGTTTTAAACACAAACTTTATATCTTCAGTCATTTCGCTTCTCCAGTAACTGTATCTGGAATTAAGAATGTTTATATATTTGTGCTGGAAAACAAGTGAAAAATACATCATGTTTTGCAGTGTTGTGTTAAATCGTGTCCTGTATATGATATCTTGATATTCTCAAATGCCATCTAAATCTGATCTGATGTTGTGGAAGGCCTGAAACAGGAGGAGATCTACACCATCAGTGTGTTTCCCGTGTACGGCTCTGTGTGTGCGCCTCAGACCTCCATCTCGGCCGATCTGCAGCACGGAGGTAAAGAGCCGCTCGTATCAAAGCTTCACAGGCCATTGAGAAACGTTGAGTTTGTGCTTTGGTTTGCTCAGCTCTGCTGGACGTGGACGGGTTTCGTCTGGTGAACGTGTCGCGCTCGTCTCTGACGGTGAGGTGGACGTGGAAGCAGACGGAGCCGAGAGTAAAAGTGCTTCAGTACAAGCTGGTGTTGAGCGGAGAACATGGAGCTGAGTGTGAGTCCCCTTCAATACTCTTATCAATCTCAGTCTGGAGAAAATCTGCTCGTTCTCACCCGAAGCCCTAAAATGTTTCGTCCAGAAAGCTTATTTCAGTTTGATAATACTGCTTCTGTTTTTAAATGCATTTTTTAACCTTTAAATTACTAGATTTGATTATACATAAATTGTCATTTAAGCACATTCCTCACATTCTTTCAACTTAAATTCAAAATAACTCGCATCTCATGCGTAACCCTTTTAATTCAGCTCTAAATATCTGACATTGTGTGTGTTTGCCGACCGCTCTCTCAAGTGCGAGACCAGTCCTGGGGTTTTGGACTCCTCGGAAAAACTCAATTTGTCAAATTTCTTCATGAGCGGAGGGAAGGATGTGTGTTTAATGTGTGTCTGAATGTGTTTTCTCAGCTCTCTCAGTGTTTCCAGATCAGCATCAGCACTCGTTCCACCATCTCCATCCCGACAGCAGATACTCCGTCTGCATACATGGAGAAACTGCGAGCGGGAACTTCACAAAGGCCAGTCTGGACGTCAGCACACCACTGAGAGGTCAGAGTGTGATTTAATCAGTACAGCTCTAAAGAACGTCATATACACTGACTGTAGTGACATGTGATGCTGTTTGTTGAAGAGAGACTGTTTTCAATGTGACCTGAATACAGTTGGAATTCTCTCTCACTCACTGACTCACTGACTGACTGACTGACTGACTCACTCTCTCACTCACTGACTCACTCACTGACTCACACACTCACTCACTCACTCACTCACTGACTCACTCACTCACTCACTCACTGACTCACTCACTCACTCACTCACTCACTCACTTACTGACTGACTCACACACTCACTTACTGACTGACTCATTCACTCACTCACTCACTCACTCACTCACTCACTCACTCACTCACTCACTGACTCACTCACTCACTCACTCACTCACTCACTCACTCACTCACTCACTTACTGACTGACTCACACACTCACTTACTGACTGACTCATTCACTCACTCACTCACTCACTCACTCACTCACTGACTCACTCACTGACTCACTCATTCACTCACTCATTCACTCACTCACTGACTCACACACTCACTCACTGACTCACTCACACACTCACTCACTCACTCACTCACTCACTCACTGACTGACTCACTCACTTACTCATTCACTGACTCACTCACTCACTCACTCACTGACTCACTCACACACTCATTCACTGACTCACTCACTCACACACTCATTCACTGACTCACTCACTCACTGACTCACACACTCACTCACTCACTCACTCACTCACACACTCACTCACTCACTCACTCACTGACTCACTCACTCACTCACTCACTCACTCACTCACTCACTCACTCACTTACTGACTGACTCACACACTCACTTACTGACTGACTCATTCACTCACTCACTCACTCACTCACTCACTCACTGACTCACTCATTCACTCACTGACTCACTCATTCACTCACTCACTGACTCACACACTCACTCACTGACTCACTCACACACTCACTCACTCACTCACTCACTCACTGACTCACTCACTCACTCACTCACTTACTCATTCACTGACTCACTCACTCACTCACTCACTGACTCACTCACACACTCATTCACTGACTCACTCACTCACACACTCATTCACTGACTCACTCACTCACTGACTCACACACTCACTCACTCACTCACTCACTCACTCACTCACTTACTGACTCACTCACTCACTCACTCACTGACTCACACACTCACTCACTGACTGACTCATTCACTCACTCACTCACTCACTCACTGACTCACTGACTGACTCACTGACTCACTCACTGACTCACTGACTCACTCACTGACTCACACACTCACTCACTGACTCACTCACACACTCACTCACTCACTGACTCACACACTCACTCACTGACTCACTCACTCACTCACTGACTCACTCACTGACTCACTCATTCACTCACTGACTCACTCACTCACTGACTCACTCACTGACTCACACACTCACTCACTGACTCACTCACACACTCACTCACTCACTCACTCACTGACTCACACACTCACTCACTGACTCACTCACACACTCACTCACTCACTCACTCACTGACTCACACACTCACTCACTGACTCACTCATTCACTCACTCACTGACTCACTCACTGACTCACTCATTCACTCACTCACTGACTCACTCACTCACTCACTCACTGACTCACTCATTCACTCACTGACTCACTCATTCACTCACTCACTGACTCACTCACTGACTCACTGACTGACTCACTCACTCACTGACTCACTCACTCACTGACTCACTCACTCACTCACTCACTCACTCACTCACTGACACACTCACTGATTCACTCACTCACTCACTCACTCACTGACTCACTCATTCACTCACTGACTTACTCACTCACTGACTCACTCACTGACTCACTCACTGACTCACTCACTCACTGACTCACTCACTGACTCACTCACTCACTCACTGACACACTCACTGATTCACTCACTCACTCACTGACTCACTCACTGACTCACTCACTGACTCACTCACTGACTCACTCACTCACTGACTCACTCACTCACTCACTGACTCACTCACTCACACACACACACACACACACTCACTCACTCACTCACTCACTCACACACACACACACACACACACACACACTCACTCACTCACTCACTCACACACACACACACACATACTCACTCACTCACTCACTCACTCACACACACACACACTAACAGACGAGGATAATGTTACAGCAAACATGATTAGTAATCACTCATTGATCTTTCTTCATTGGTCAGATTCGGATGAGTGGACGAGGTTTGCCGTTCCAGTGGTCCTGCTCCTGGTGTTCGGGATATTCTCGGTGTCGTCAGTGACTGTGTAAGCCGATCCGCGTGTCGATCCGTCTCGGTGTTTACTGGCTTCAGTAATGACCGTGTGACCGTTTGCTCACAGATACAGGAAACACTTCCTCCCTGTCGTCGCCAATCCCAGGTTCAGTCTGATCGGACGCTGGCTTCTCAACCCGCATCTGCAGGTCAGTCAACATGTCCCGTGTCTGACGATCATTAGTTTTAATTAAAGTGTCCCTATTATGCCATTTTTATATTTTTAGAAAGGATTGCATGCATGCAACGTCAAAAAAAACAGTAGTTTCCTCATAATCTCCAATACAGCATCAGTGTCTGAAACGCTTCGATCGAGGATTCAGTCTCTCTAAGCTCCGCCTCTCTGAGAGCTGCTCTGCTGTGATTGGTCATTATCATATCTGAATCTCAGCTCTTGATACGAACAGTGACGATGGCGTATCAAACAGTTTATTCTCGACACAAACACAAACTAAACTCTTCCAGTCTCAGATAAACTAGTGTTTGAGGGCGGAGCTAAGAGGTGCTGCTCAGCCAATCAAGAGCAGAGGCGGGCATACAAATCTACTTTAAACTCCATTTATCTAATCTCAACATTAACTTGGTGCTCATAAACAGCTCGACTGCCGAAGGGAATATCACAGAAAGCATAATCGGGGCACTTTCACTTTCTTACCGAATTAAAACACGGTAAGAAAAGGCCGTTTGTGTGGCTAACGTGTGATGCTAACAGGGCAGCGGACGGATGTGTGTGCTGAAGCTGGAGAGTGTGTTCCCGCTGGACCAGCAGGAGAAAAGCTTCATACACGTGGAGCGGCGCGAGTCTGTGACATCAGAACATGAGGACACGCCTCCTTCGAAGATCACCACGAGCCCCGCCTCCAGCCTGCCCGAGTACGTCCAGTTACCCCTATTAGCCGATCGCTCCGATTATGTTCAAAATGGACAAATTGTATTTCAGTTTCCTGAGAAACCCTCAGACTGATATCTATATTTCCCGACTGTGATAAACCACGAACGCTTTTAATCTCGTCTCAATCGACTGTATCAGAAGAATCTCACACAACTTTCACGTTTGCATTTACTATATAATATTTGATGAAGTTGAATTAATTGAATTAAAAACAAGATTATACAACTACAAAAATCTTATTTTAAGTTGCTGTAATTTTCTATGTTGCTTTTTTGAACTTTTTTTTTTTAATAATTTTTCGCTACAAAATAAATTCACATTTTAGTTTAATTCGCTCTTAATTGTATAGCGTTTTTCATACTCTTAATCTAACAATTCTGACTTTTTATCTTGCTCTTGCAAACTTATATCTTACAATTTAGACCTTTTTTCACAATTACGAGTTTAAATCTCACAATTCAAACCTTTTTCCAAAGAATGTGAGATATAAAGTAACAATCACCTTTTTAAACTCGTAATTGCAAGTTTACATCTCGCAAAAAAAAAAAGTCTTGAATTCATTTTTTTCAAATATAAGGCCATATTTAAGGCTTTATTTTAATTTATTTTCTTTGAAGAGCCATGATTTCCAATAGTCTTTAATCAAGGAAGCTTTATTTTAAAAGTGGAAAAGTCATGGAAATGAATAAAATCGTATGTAAAATGTATAGTTCCCTGGGCATTTTTAAAATAAATGCACATTTTTCTAATCATACCAAGCTCTAGAAATCTTTTATCGGGTATAAATTAAGAGTAAATAAAAAAAAAAGCATCCATCTCCTTGATCCGTCGTTGAAAACTGCTGTATACAGAAGGGTCGAGAACCGTTTCAGAAACATGATGTATTTTACAGTTACAGTATTGTGTCATATCAGTATTGTGTAATATCACAGTCATGGTGCTTCCGGTTTGCAACAGCAAACTACAGTAAAATACACAGGTAAACCGTTTAAAGAGAAACGAAACAGTCCGTTTGAGTTTATTTGCACTCTTCATTGTTTCAATGTTACACAGATGAGTGTGTCAATCACCTTAATGATGAATCTGGTGCTTCTAATGATTACAATATAAGGATATCGAGCATTTTCTGCGGTCATGTGATGATTTTAATTTAATTTGACTTCTATATTCTCTAAAGAACAGCCGACTGATTGAGTTGACTGTTGAAGAGTTTGATGAAGGGGTCAGAGGGGTCAGAGGTTGGCGCTGCAGCCGCTCCAGTGTTTGAGCAGGAGGTGTGCGATGGCCTGTCGGGGGGGCATGCTGAACACGGCACGCTGGTCCTTCACCAGAGCGTCCATCACCTGAAACGAGCAAACGAGGCTTCATTACGCCACAAACGTTTCCAAACACTTCGACACTTCAGTAATTAAACAATAATATATTAAGATGGTAGTTAGTCTCTTATTGGCCCATTGTTTAGCTGAGCCATTCATAGAACTAACCAAACACTGACAATTGATAAGAGAACCACGTATAGACACTTGATAGTCTTATTAGATAATTTAATTTATTTGTAAAAGGTGTTTTATGCATGTTTGGTACCATTTCGTTAACACTTTACTTGGAGTGTGCATAAGACTGACATGACACACGTTATGAATATGAAGGAGGTTTTATGCATGTTTAAGTGGGCGTTTAGTTTTTAGTTAATTTAATATGTCATATTTTGAGACAATTTGTACATTGGAAGGCATTGGTTGAGGCTCAGGCGTTCAATAATAGTGCAAAATATACAGGTCGAACTCGAAAAATCAGAATATCGTGCAAAACGTATAATTTTGATGATTATGAAAACCCCAAATTCCAAATCTCAGAAAATTGGAATATGACATGAGATCAATTAAAAAAAGGATTTTAAATGCAGAAATGTCGCCTCTCTGAAAAGTATAATCATGCATGTATATAGATATATATATACTAAATATATTAGTTTCACCTTTTAATTTAAATGACTGAAATACATGAACTGTTGTACAATAATATTCACATTTTTCAAGATTCACCTGTACAATTAAATACAATTTAGAGAGGAGAAAAAAATAGATATTTACAGAAAAGTACATAAATATGCAAAACAAATTTCTTTCTTGGAGCTCAAACAGGATATCGGTGGCGCTTGCAACGCTAAAAGTCACGGGTTGGATTCCCAGGGAAAGCAAGAACTGATAAGAATGTAAATGTCGAATAGATAAAAGGGTCGTCAAAATGCATAAATGTAAATAATAAAGTGCAGAAAGCTGTTTGCAGAGGAAGAGACTGAAGTAGTGTGTGAGCGACGCACCTGCTGCCGTGTGAACCAGCGCGCCTCTTCGATCTCGTTCTCGTCCGCCGTGATGTCAGTGGTCAGAGCGACGCAGTGGCAGCCAATCATCAGGCAGGAGGGCATGGGCCAGGCCTGACTCGACAGGTACCGCACGGGTCCCACCCGAACACCGCTCTCCTCCAGAACCTCCCGCCGCACCGCCGACTCCAGCGCCTCACCTGAGCGGCACATCAATCACACGAGTACTTCGCTTTAAAATCAAAACTAGCCCATGATTTACGCTCCGTCACGCCATCCTAGGAGTACACAAAACGTGTTTTCCCCTCACATTTTGACTATTTCTTTGAAAAAAAAAGAGTCTGAATTGTGAGATAATGTTGCCTTCTTACATCTCACAATTTAGATTTTATTTCTCAGAATTATGTCCACGGAATAAATTTATATTTCAGTTCGATTCACATTTAATTCTATGGCGTTTTTCATTTTTCTTTTTATCTTTTTTATCTTATAAGTCAGACTTTAATTGCGAGTTTAAATCTCACAACTCTAAGAAAATTATATGGAAAAAGGTTTGAATTGTGAGATAAAAAATCACGTCACGGAATAAAATGAATAAAAAATGTAATTGTGACATATCACCTCATAATTCAGATTTTTCCACCCACATAAAATTCTCTAGAAAAAAATATCTGAATTTTGGGAGAAAAATGTGCAATTAAGTTTTTTTTAAACTTTAAATCTTGCAATTTTGATTTGATTTGTTCAGAACCTCTGAATTCACATTCATTTGTGTGACGTTCTTCTCTTCAGAAAAAATCTCTAGGAAAAGTTGGAATTGCGAGATAAAAATCTTTTAACTTTTAGTCGTGAAAATAAATATCTTAAATGGTATAAGAGAAGTATGGAAGCTAGTATCCGGCATGGAATAAAAAAGTTTTTTTCCCCCTCACATTTTGACAATTTTCTTTAAAAAAAAAAAATCTAAAATTGAGATATAATGTTGCAATTTGCCTTTTTAACTTGATTTTATTCCTCAGAATTTTGTCCACAGAAATAATCGATTCACATTTAATTGTAAAGCGTTTTTCACACTTTTTAACTAACGACTTTTTTTTTTCTCACACTTGCGAATTATATCTTACAATTCAGTTTAGTTTTTTTTGTACACAATCGCGACCTTTTTAAACTAAAGTTTACATTTTGCAAAAAGTCTTAAATTCAGTTTTATCAAATTTAAGGGCATAAAATGTCTTAAGTTGTGTAAGAAAAGTATGGCGTTTAGTTAACACATCGCAATTTGGTTTAATTAATGGTTTAATGGGTCTTTTTCCCACCACAGAATAACAAAATTAAAAAAGTAATTGTGACATTTTTTTTCCCTCACAATTTGGATTTTTTTCGGTCGGAAAGTGATAAAAATGTGCAAATACATTTTTAAACTTTATATCTTGCAATTGATTTTATTCCTCAGAATTAAGTCAGAATCTCTGAATTCACAATCATTTCTAAAATGCCTTCCTAAAAGTGGGAATTGTGATTTGAAAAGTCTGAAAATGACTTTTCTGGAAGTTTTTTTTGTCATTTTCTGAAATGACCTGGAAGAAATGGCATAAGAGAAGTATGGACGCTTCTATGGTGTTAAATGTGATCAAACTGAATTAGAGACTCGTTGATCCAGAGTTGGGTTTCGGATACCTGGCTCCACGAACCCGGCGAGGCAGGAGAACATTCCTGGAGGAAAGCTCTTCTTGCGTCCCAGCAGACACTGATTCCCATCGGGATGAATGACCAACATGATCACCACCGGATCTGGAAGAAGCCAGACGAGTGAAAGATCATATTCCCGGAGCTCCGGCTGAGCCGTAATCGGGAGATTACTTGCCGACTCTGGGATAGCAGGTGTTGTGGACGCCCTGGAGACTTCTGCAGCCTGCTCTCAAACAGGTCCTCTTGTAGCCGGCCTCCTCTACTTTAGTGGTGCTGCCACACGTCGGGCAGAACCGGTACCGGCTGTGCCACGCGAGAACCGATCTGGCCTGAGCCACGACGCCTGTGTGTCAAAGCAGGAATAAAGGGTTAGTTGACCCAAAAATGAAAATTCTGTCAGTACTTCCTCGCCCTTATGTTGTTCAACCCCGTAAGACCTTCGTTCATCTTCGCAACACAAATTAAGATATTTAAGATATTAAGATCGCTCCTGCATACTAGTCCATAGGCTTCTTGAGGGAATGACTCGAAAAGTCATTAAAGACATCGTTAAAATAGTCCAAGTGACTACAGCGGCTCAATCTTAACTTTATCAAACGGCGAGAACACTTTTGTGCACAAAAACAACAAAAATAAGGACTTTATTTCAACTATTCACTTCCTTCTCCATGAGCCTGTAGTCAGTTAACGTAGTGTGATTGCGTAAAGCTACGTCACACGAAGGCTCACTATTGGCCGACGCTGGTCATGTGTGTGATGATGCGTGTGACGTACAATAACAGAAGCTTACGCTATTAAACTAGTAACCTGACTCGCGCAGAGGGAGAAATAAACCAATAGTTGAAATAAAGTCGTCATTTTTGCGCACAAAAGTGTTCTCGTCGTTTGATAAAGTTAAGATTGAGCCGCTGTAGTCACTTGGACTATTTTAACGATGTCTTTAATGTCTTTTCGAGTCATTCCCTCAAGAAGCCTATGGACTAGTATGCAGGAGCGATCTTAATATCTTAAATATCTTAATTTGTGTTGCGAAGATGAACGAAGGTCTTACGGGGTTGAACAACATGAGGGTGAGGAAATACTGACAGAATTTTCATTTTTGGGTCAACTAACCCTTTAATGACATAAAGCACATCTTACATCATAAACTATATTTACAGCCAAACCGCACATGATTGAGACGCCAGATATGATGTTGATATGTTCCACTAGTGTGATCAGGACACTATAGTTGATTTGTGTAAGTGAGGAGAGCAAAATAAAGTGTAATATGGCACAGTTTACTTTATTTTGCTCTCCTCACTTACACAAATCAACTATAGTGTCCTGAACACACTAGTGGAACATATCAACATCATATCTGGAGTCTGAATCATGTGCGGTTTGGCTGTAAGTTAAGGAATCTCACCTGCATCATCGTCACTCAGCCTCAAAAGTCCCGGCATCGCTCCCGGAAGGAAAAAACAACCGGGATCTTCAGCTTTCAGGAATTCTGTCGGATCGTCTTCGGTATCGAGAGCGAACCACGCCAGCAGATTATCGTCCGTCTCCCGTCTCTCCACTCCCAGGAACACCAGCACGGCGTCTCTGCTCTTCAGCATCTCCTGGACTCGCGGCGCTCGGAGTTTACAGAGCCCGGTTCCGCCCGCTCCCGACGACACCAGAGGATTCAGCTTGTGGAAGAGCAGGAACACCGACTCCGGAGACGCTCGCTTGGAGTCCAGCCACTCCGAGTCGCTCCGCTTGACGCTCATCCTGTCCAGAAACTCTCTGTTGAAGAACGTGTCCGGCTCTTCCCCGGCGCACTCGGGGAGAAGATGGCGGAGATCGGGATCGGGAGCGCTGGCCAACAGACGGGCGATGTGTCGGTGACCCCAGAACTGGGCCACGTCTGCTGCCGTCTGACCCGAGCGGTTCGTGGCGCTGGTGTCGCATCTGAAAGAAACACTTTCATTCTCCTTTCCTTCACATTTTCCTCATTGTTCAAATCGACATGAGATTAATCTGCACTCGCTCCTGTTATTGAGGTGAGAGATTCCAAAGACTAAAATGATTGTTTCTAAAATCATCACAAGATGTAATCTCTGTCTCCTCCACTAAAACAGCTTAAAGGAGTCGTTCACTTCAGAATTAAAGTTTCCTGATAATTTACTCACGTCATCCGAGATGTTCATGTCTTTCTTTCTTCAGGTGAACAGAAATTAAGGTTCACCTAGCAACCACCCAGAACACCCTAGCAACCAGCAGAATACCCTAGCTACCACCTAGCAACACCATATCAACCACCTAGAACACCCTAGCAACTGCCTAGCAACCACCCAGATCACCCTAGCAACCACCTAGTAACACAATAACAAATCATAACACCCTAGCAACCACCTAACTACACCAAAGCAACCACCCAGAATACCCTAGCAACCACCTAGATTACCCTAACAACTTCCTAGCAACCACCCAGAACACCCTAGCAACACCCTAGCAACCAGCAGAATACCCTAGCTACCATCTAGCAACACCATAGCAACCACCTAGAACACCCTAGCAACCACCCAGATCACCCTAACAACCACCTAGTAACACAATAACAACAAATCATAACACCCTAGCAACCACCTAACTACACCAAAGCAACCACCCAGAATACCCTGGCAACCACCTAGATTACCCTAGCAACTGCCTAGCAACACCGTAGCAACCACCCAGAACACCCTAGCAACCATCTAGCAACCACCCAGAACACCCTAGCAACACCCTAGCAACCAGCAGAATACCCTAGCTACCACCTAGCAACACCATAGCAACCACCTAGAACACCTTAGCAACCACCCAGATCACCCTAACAACCACCTAGTAACACAATAACAACAAATCATAACACCCTAGCAACCACCTAGCTACACCAAAGCAACCACCTAGATTACCCTAGCAACTGCCTAGCAACACCCTAGCAACCAGCAGAATACCCTAGCTACCACCTAGCAACACCATAGCAACCACCTAGAACACCCTAGCAACTGCCTAGCAACCACCCAGATCACCCTAGCAACCACCTAGTAACACAATAACAACAAATCATAACACCCTAGCAACCACCTAACTACACCAAAGCAACCACCCAGAATACCCTAGCAACCACCTAGATTACCCTAGCAACACCATAGCAACCACCCAGAACACCCTAGCAACCATCTAGCAACCACCCAGAACACCCTAGCAACACCCTAGCAACCAGCAGAATACCCTAGCTACCACCTAGCAACACCATAGCAAACACCTAGAACACCCTAGCAACCACCCAGATCACCCTAACAACCACCTAGTAACACAATAACAACAAATCATAACACCCTAGCAACCACCTAGCTACACCAAAGCAACCACCCAGAATACCCTAGCAACCACCTAGATTACCCTAGCAACTGCCTAGCAACACCCTAGCAACCAGCAGAATACCATAGCTACCACCTAGCAACACCATAGCAACCACCTGGAACACTCTAGCAACTGCCTAGCAACCACCTGGAACACTCTAGCAACTGCCTAGCAACCACCTAGTAACACAATAACAACAAATCATAACACCATTGCACATCAGCACCTCTCACATTTTCTTCTGGAAATGTACACTCAGGGTTTCTCCATATAATGGACTTCAATGGGGTCCAACGGGTCGAAGGTCAGATGTGAGCTTCAGAGTCTCGACACGATCCAGCCGAGGAATAAGAGTCTGATCTACACAAACCAGCGACATTTACAACAAAACACACATTTATATACTTTAACCACTAATGCTGGACTTGCTCGAGCTGTGATGCGACACACGTTACGTGATCAGGGTGAAAGGTCAAGCATGTTCCGGTTCAGAAATGTAGGGAAGAGTGAAAACTTCAAAATCGCCCAACATCGTTTTACCCTTTATTTTATTTTATTTTATTTTTATAAATGGCGTTTGAGTTAGTGTTTACAAAGCGAACGTGTAAACACTAGATCTGTTCTTACGCCTACGTCCCGCTTGACCTTTCACCCTGATGACGTAACGTGTGTCGCATCGCATCACAGCTCGAGCAAGTCCAGCATTAGTGGTTAAAGTATATAAATGTGTGTTTTGTTGTAAATGTCACTGGTTTGTCTAGATCAGACTCTTATTCCTCGGCTGGATCGTGTCGAGACTCTGAAGCTCACATCTGACCTTCGACCCGTTGGACCCCATTGAAGTCCATTATATGGAGAAACCCTGGAGTGTGTTCCTCAAAAACCTTCATTTCTTTTCCGACCGAAGAAAGAAACACATGAAGATCTCGGATGATGTGGAGGAAATTATCAGTAAATTATCAGAAAATTTTAATTCTGAAGTGAACGACTCCTAAAGGGACGTATGAATATTTCAGTGCTTTTGTGTTCCCTTGAGAAACTGCTTTGAATATTAAGTCATCACATTTATTTATAACAGCACAGAGTGTGTGTGTCTGGAAGAGAATAGTGTCACAGTCCAGCTAAAGTCAGTTCAGTGATGTTCATTTCTGTTGTAATATAGTTATTAATTTGGTTCATATATATATTTATATATATATTCAGCCGCTCTGGAGTAAACCGTGATGTCATCGTCCAGCTCAGTTCAGTTCTGCTATAATAGTGTCAGTGCAGGAGATCAGTATTATTGTTGAATATTGAATGAAGTGTTAGTGAATGCTAGTGTCGTTCTCTCACCCGTGGGACAGTAAGACTTTGGCCACGTCGTAGTGTCCGTTCCTGGCGGCCAGCATCAGCGCGGTCCAGCCCGTCTCTCCTCGCTGGTTCAGGAGATCTGCGGACTGGGTCATCAGCGCCGAAACCTTCTCCACGTCCCCTCGAGACGAGGCGTCCAGGAACCGCATCAGCAGCTCGTCTGAGAACATCGTCTGAGAACGCCAACGAGATCTCATCATCTCAACTTTACAATCAGGTCCGGTTAGGTCACATTTGATATATGTTCATTTTTATGTTAGCGTTATTGTCCCATAAAAAAAAAATGTGTCCAATATATTAAAGCCGATAATTAATGTATTATTTCACTGATGATCTTGAATTGCTTGAAATATGATTGGAATCACTTCAAATAAGAAAATAGAGTAAAGTGCAATAAAATAAAATTATACATTATTTAATAGCTTTAATATAGCAGTCAAATTTTCTTATCAAGGCAATAGCAATTAACATATATCGGCCGATACCGATATAGCTTGCATCCCTAATGAGAACTGAGTATTATTAATGAATTATGTACTTACTATAGAGTCATGGTTTGGGTTTGGTTTAATTTCTTGTAATTATGCATAATTTACTGTTATTACTACAGTGAGTACATGTAGTAATGTGTAACTACAATCCCTTCAAATAACAACTAGCAAATAAGGTTACGTTCATTATAAGCAAAAACTTTAATTTATTTAATCTTATTATATATAAAGTACGTTTTATTATTTAATTTTCCTGTAAATCACTGTTATGAGGAAATCACGGATTAACATCCTGGTTTAACAAAAATATGTTCTAAGAACGTTGTTATAGTGTTCCCAATTATGAAAACATTTTTTTATATGTAACACTTTAATGCAACATTCCATTTTATCATTCTTCAAACATTATGGGAACTTTTGAATGTTCCCTGAACGTTTAGTAACATTAAAAACATTAAAAATAAAAAAAAATATTTTTTTAATTTACATTTTTGGGGCGAGATATGATTGATTATGACACACGACAGTAACAGCAGCTTGTATTCAGTAAAACTTTGTTTTTTCATTTGAAGATATTTTCATCTGTTTTGAAGAATGCGCGGCAGTAAATTTGATCCATGACATAATGACATAAACGATGATTGTATATTAATGTTAGCCTATATTTTATTATAGGTATTCCTCCACATTACAACGATAGAGTATTTGGACATTTTATTATATGTTAAAATTGCCAAAAAAATATATAATTACTCACCAGACAAACTGTTTATTTATTTCATAGGTTGGGTTGAAGTTCAGAGTGATTTTGATGTTTTGTAACGCGTCTGTTTGCCTGTCGCTCGGTTATGACGCACTGAAGCATCAGTGACATTTTCCTGCGCAAGCGCGACACTTAGTGGAGAGAGGCGGCAATTACAACATTTTGCAAAGTTTGGACAGTCACACACTGAATTTAATTTTCCCTTATTCATCAAAACCAGTAAAGCAACAGGTTTCTGCCTAAATACTTTAAATTCATTTTGTAGACAAACATAGGCTATTATAGGCCTACCTATACAACTCTTGTTTTTATTTTTGAAAACAAAAAGTGTTTAGTTTTTCATGTAGAAGTTGTAGCGGACATTGAAGGAAAGCGAGGTTGAGCACACAGATCTGAACTCGTTATTTTTCACTTTCTTCTAACATTTGCCAAATAAACTACAGAGTCCTGACAGAAGAGATCGACTCTGTTTTTCTTGACTTGGCTTGCACTGCCTTAGCCCACCACTAGGCCTACTGTCTGCGAAATATTATTATAATATTATTAATTTAACTATTGTCGTGCATTTCTTAATCAATATGATTCTAAACTCATAAAGTATACTACAAAAAACAGATAAATCCAGAATATGAACACAAAGCTTTTCATTTGACGTTAAGCATTTTCCTCCCATAGAAACACATTATAACAGTGTTTCCCAACCCTGTTCCTGGCGGCACACCAACACTGCGTGTATTCTTTGTCTCCCTTATCAAACACACCTGATTCAACCCATCAGCTCATAATCAGGTGGGTTAATGAGCTGATGGGTTGAATCGGGTGTGTTTGATTAGGGAGACAAAGAAAACACGCAGTGTTGGTGTGCCGCCAGGAACAGGGTTGGGAAACACTGCATTATAAGAACTCTAAATGTAGCTTAATGCATATTAGAATGTGCCCCTTATTATGTCGAAATAACGAGATATTTATGTTGAAATAACGACTTGTCAAAATAACGAGATGTCGAAATAACGTGATATGTCATGATAATGACTCATTAAGTCGAAAGAACGAGATATTATGTTGTAATAACGAGATATGTCATAACAAGATGTTATATGTATAGCGGAGGATCTTTCCGAATTTTAGAGAAGACCCGCCCTCTCCAATTTAAAAAAAAAAAAAAAAAATGCACATGCACAAACACACACTCCCGAGAGGGAACGCCTACTATTACGCCTTGCACAATTATGTTGCAAATTGTAAACTAACTCAAAAATATTCATAAAAAAGACAACATGTCAAATGCCCTTCCGTGTTTTATTTACTTATTATACTGATCGATTGAGTGACCGAGGACTCGAGACATGATATGCAACCCTGTATCACACAAAATACGTTCTGAGGAAACTATTTTGCAAATCACAATTACGTCACATAGCAACATATAAGCAGTGCTATTACATTGGTCCTTAACCTAATATGTCTCATTGTTAATACGTAGGTATTAATAAGTTATTTTTATACATAGTTGCATATGGAGAAGTAGCATTTGTGTAATAATAAACACACAAGGTTTTAGAATATGAACACATGAACACACAAAGTTTTAGAATATTTCAGCGTGATACCATTTACCATTTTGTCACCATGTACCGTGTCTATGCGGTGCATGACTTGTGCCAGGGCTAGCATTGCTAAGTAGCTTGCATTAACTTTTACTAGTGATTTTAAATGGATTTCTCCAAATAGCGTGACAAACTTTACCTGTCTAGTAGAATCTTCGCGACTGCGGCATCAGTGAGAAGCCCAACCTGTGCTTTTAGCGTACGCCAGCATGTGATATTCACCCAAAATCACTCTGGTCTTGTTTCTATATTCTGTGGCCTTTCTCTTCTTATCATACACTTCGTATACATTTTTTTCTTTCGACCCTCAGCCATTTTCAAAGGAATGGCTGAAACCGCAACTCCGACATAATACACTACAAGTGAAAACTACATAGGGATGAGCACGTACGACGGCCTTACATGAACATATCACCAGAATGATTGACACTTAGATCGACCAATAGTATAGACTACCCACCCGGAAAAAGAAAATCCTCCGCTATACCTTTAATTACAAGATATTATGTCGAAAAAATTACAACTTAAAGGGGTGATGAACTGAGAAATCAAATTCTCCTTGAGCTTTTGACATCTAAGAGGTCATCATAAGAATATCCTGTAAGTTTCAGAACTGAAAACATCCTTGTTAGTCCAATAAAAGCTTTTATTGACACCAGGCTCAGCAAACAACTGCTTTTTCAAAGTGGGGAATTATGACATCAAAGAGGATAAAAGACACCACCCCCACAGAAGAAGATCAACGCCTACTTCGGTTTAGCCCCGCCCACCGATTCGCGCATTACACGCATAGTCAAATAACATAGATGCCTACCTCGGTGCTGTGCCGTCTATATTGGATCTGACAGGAATAGTGCAACACACGGACTCTGGGTCAAACATTTATGGGCGAATCGGACGTTTTCAAAACCATTTCCCCCAAAAGCATCGACGGGTGAGTCGAAACTCATTATAATATGCAAAACTGTTATCCACTCACAGCAGTGGGCGTTTACTTCCAAGTCTTCAGTGGGAGACGCCCATTAAAAACCGTGCGATTCTGAGCTGGTCTCAAAGCTAGGGTTGAAAGTAGCGTATTACTTATTCATTTTGATGTTTTTTAATGCAAAATCCAAGCGAACATCATAAGTTGACCTCAGACAACAATATAATAAAAAAAATTTAAAAAGCCAGTTCATGACCCCTTTAAGTCGAAATAACGAGATAAGTTTTCTCCCCATTGCCGGTTCGGCGCTTCCGTGACAATGGGACATACTGGCTCATGACTTATTGAATGTTTGTAAAGCTAAAGCACAAGGAAATGTTCAAGATTAAACTTGAATTTCGGATGGAATGCTTGTGCCGTTAATCTTGTATTACAGGTTTATAATAGTGGTGTAGACACACTTCAGTAATGTCAGATTCTGTTGGATGGTGGTGGGACAGTGAAAATGGAGAGTAAATTGGGACACATGAGGGTGGTCTGAGCTGGTTTGTGCACTACTGCTTTTCTACTACTTAATAATGGCGAGTCAAACTCGTGCCGGTAGAAACTTTAGCTGGACCAGCAGCAAGAGACCGATGATGATCTCTTCAGAAGAGTCCCACCAATATCCACTATAAAACACAAACAAATCAAAATATTAAAGCAAATATCTCTGATTTAATTTAGTAATGGTTTGACGATCTCCTTCCTGTTAAATGCTCTTCAAGAAGTCCTGGTCGTTGTCCAAGGCCTTGTCCACACTAAGGCTATGTTTACACGTAAACGATTCTGAAGAGAAAACGCAAAAGTGTCGTTGCGTCATCATTGCGTCACCATTTGCATCAAATGGTGACGCAAAAGTGTGTGAAATTCGTTGTAGTATGCACTTCAGGCGGCTAGGAGTGCATACTACAACACCACCAAGTCCACGCGCCTGCGTACAACCTTCAGTGTCAAGCAGTTTTGCGTTACCGTTTACACGGGAACGCGGCGGTGGAGCGTCTTTAAGATTTCCACTCTGGGGCCCTGTTTACACGAGAACGCTCGCAGGTGAAAACGTAAAAACATTTTATCGGATGTGCCTTTCGTTTACACGGCGACAGCGTTTTTGAGGCTTAAAAACGCAAAGAAGTGAAACCGCCCTCCAGAGTGGAAATTTTAAAAACGCTCCACCGCCGCGTTCCCGTGTCAACGGTAAAAACGCAAAAGTCTGCTTTCATGTTTATCGGTATGTGCCTGTTATGTGCTATTCACTTTTACACTATTACTAAAATATGTCACTTTGCACATTCTTCATAGCACATAACGTTACTGTAAAGATGACAGATAATGTCTACTCACATTTGCTGTCCTGCGGGAAAACAGCTGAGCAGTTGCGTTTTAGACCAAACATAGAATGCAACCTGGATGCATCAGTGATGGTGAGGTATTTTGCTAAATAAAATTATCCTGTTTATAACAGTTTAGTTTTCTCTAACAGAATTGTGCGATAACTTTATTATTTATTTTCCCATCTGTATCATCTCATTGAGCTTTTGTGAAGTTCCACGCATGCGCAGTAAAGTTAATTTAGAAGTTTCTCATCCACACTGAAATGTCGAGAAATGCTTGAAAACGCTACTGTGGACGGAAGCGTTTTTAAACGAAAACGCCGTTTTCAAACGAAAACGCCGTTTTCAAATGTATCCGGATTAATGTGGACGTAGAAATCCTATAGGCTATCTGCTGCTTGTCTCGTGGTTCTGTTATTGTTGTGTGTGTGTGTGTGTGTGTGTGTGTGTGTGTGTGTGTGTGCTGATTATAGGGGCGTGGCCGCTCATCAGCGCTTGTCAACGTTCAAACATCATCTGCAGTCTATCATTCATGTGTATATATTCTCATCAACTTCTCATGTGTGTGTGTGTGTGTGTGTGTGGCCCATAGACTTGTCTGAACGCCATCAGTGCATGTGCTTCCATGTCAAACATGTGATTGGTGCATTTGGTCTGATGTCTATGTCTGAAGTTAAACGCCATGATCCGCGCATATGAAGCTCTGACACTAAACATGTGTCTGTTCGCCATCTGAGCAAATGTGAGAGCAGATGATCTGGCTGGCTTCCTTATCTTTCTTGAAGTGCATCTGGAATTAGAGAAAGCAGACAAGCCACTTTTTGCAAGGTCAAAACCTCCTCATCAGATTCTTATTGGCCAAAAGGGACAAGACAATGAGCTCAGGTCATATGACGTCAGAAAAATTGGATAAATTCCAGGAGGGGAACTCCAGACCAAAATGTTAATTTCATTGAAGAGAGAACACTTACAGGAAACATGTTTAAAACTTTTCTTTGTGTTCTTTTTATCAAAGATGCAGAATATACTTTTCCTTCACTGAAACATCAAATGTGTTTTTGGAAACAATACGCTTTGGTACTGTATATTCCATTAAACAGAGATCAACCTAGAAAAACATTCACTGTAAATGTTTTAACGACAAAGCAACACCAAGTAACTTTTCCTCTGCGGTCGCCCTACAGGTTTGAAGCAGAATT